GGCCCGCGCGCCAGCCTGGCGGGCTCGGACGGCGGCAGCGCGCGCTCCAGCGGCATCAGCCTGGGCTACGACCAGCGCCACGGCCCCGGCCCCGGGCCGCCGTCGGGGGGCAGCGCGCGCTCCAGCGTGTCCAGCCTGGGCTCCCGCGGCTCGGCGGGCGCCTACGCAGACCTGCTGCCGCCCGGCGGCGGCCCCGCGCCCGCCCGCTCCCCGGAGCCTGCCCCGTTCCCGTTCCCGTTGCCGTCGCTGCCGCTGCCCCCGGGTCGGGAGGGCGGCCCGAGCGCGGCCGAGCGGCGGCTGGAGGCGCTCACGCGGGAGCTGGAGCGCGCGCTCGAGGCGCGCACGGCGCGAGACTATTTCGGTGAGCGCGCGGGCCGGGGGCGTCCGGGATGCGCGGGGCTCTGGTAGGGTCTGTTCTCCCGGTGCGGAGGTGAGGGACAGAATCGAGTTTGTTGACAGAGTAAGCTATTTTCTGGACACTTAAAAAAGTTTCTTAGAGACGAGTTTTTACTGTGTGGCTTTGGCTGGAACTGACAGAGAGCTTCCTGCCTCTGCCCCTCGAGTGCTGGGATTAGAAACATGGCAAAAGGTTTGTGTATGTAAAGTACCCTGGGAGGTTAGCAGAAAGTGGCAGGTCCCTCGTTTGTGACCCGGTACCGGTGTTGGGAAGGACAAGCTTTCTTAACTGCAAACCCATCCTCCAGCCCCTTTTGCTGGACATTCTTGCTCATCCTTAGCACCGCTCCCGCTCACCCTGGCAATGCTGATCAAGAGCAGAACGGGTCTCACTCCCCTTCCAACTGTGTCAGGCTTAGCTAGGGACAGAGACTTGGGCTGTCATGGGTAGCCCTGAACCTGCTCAGCTTGGCATGGTTGGTACAGGTCTGTAGTCCCCGCACCGGGGAAGCAGGGACAGTGGGATAGTTAAAGCCGGCCTGGTCTGCATGCAGTTCCAAGCCAGTCAAGACTAGGTAGCCAGGCCTCGTTTCAAAAAGTGGCAAGAGAAAATGGACTTTATACCCTCAAATGCCAAAGAAAGGGAGTAGGAGAGCAGCTCTGCTGAAGAAAGCACGTGCTTTAGCAAGGCCCCTGAGTCTCTGGTGGCTTCCTGTGGCACAGTACTTCAGGTGAGTCAGGGTAGAGGGAGTGAGGCTCCTGGCTTGGCGGTGTTCGTGGCTAGCAAGCCAGGAGAGGGCCAGCTGATCTCCAGTTTTCTCAAATTCGGTAGAACTAGCAGCTCCAGGTTGCTTTGAAGTAGCTCTTGGGGGGAGGAGAGGCTGTCCCTTAGCGGGTCAGGTGGGTGCACTTGGGGGGTGGGGGGGAAGTGAGGGTATGAGAAGGTTGTAGCCCAGGCTGGCCAATGTGTGGCATAAAGGGTTGGCCTGTGAGGAGACAGGATGGGGACTCTGGTTTAGCAGAGCTGCTGGCTGCTGTTAATGGGCTGGGAGTAGGAGGTGGGGGAGAAACCATGGCCTCCTGCCAGGAGCCTAACTGGGGCATCTTCTGACCTGTCCTGGCTCTTCCAGCATCTGATCACCTGGCCCCCGCACACTTAGAGGCTGGCCTTGTCTGTCTGTCGGCCCCCATGTCAGTCTGTGTATTACTCTCTGTAGGTAACAGGGCAGTAAAGACTGATGGCCAGAGACGGCGGGAGCTGAGGCTTCTTTCCAAAGAGCAGCAAGAGCTCAGCTTCAGCCCTTTTTGCCCCACAGGAGGCTGAGCCGGCCTCTCTGAATAAAGTCTCATCTAGTGCAGGCTGCTGGAAGAATGTGCTCTTTAGCCAAGGATAGCCTTTGCCTCTTGCTTCACCCCAAGTGCTGGGACTACAGGTGTGTACTCTCCCAGCCAGATTGTGGGGTGCTGAGTGCGGAACCTGGGGCTCCGTGCTCAGAAGCGCTCTGTCAGCTGAACCGTATCCCAGCGCAGTTTCTTTGGCTAGGGTCTCATGCTGTCCTCCAGCCTGACTGCAGCTAACCATCTCCTTCCTCAGTCTTCCTTCCTTCCTCTCTCCTCCCTTCCCCCTTCCTTCCTAAATGCAGGGATTACAGGTCTGAGCCACCATACCTGGCTTAAATTCTAGAACCCCCAAACCAAAAATAGACCTTTTTTCTGGTTCTTAAAAATACGGGCAGTTTGCTTGCACTGTGTATCTGATGACAATTGACGTTTCTAAGCTACAAAAATGGCCATTTCCAGGTGCAGTTGGCAGTTATATCCTGTGCTGCAGAATGACATCAGGCAGCAAAACCAAAAACACAGATGTGTTGATTCCGTGTTTGCTTGCTTGCTTTTTAATTTTTTAAAATTAATTTTTATTACATATTGTGTGTGAGAGCGTCAGATCTTCTGGAACTGGAGTCACAGATGGTTGTGAGCTGCCATGTGGGTGTTGGGACTTGAACCCGGCTCCTCTGGAAGAGCAGCCAGTGCTGTTAACTACTGAGCCATCTCTCCAGCTTGTTTGCTTTTTGATTTAAAGGCCAGAGCCTTAGCCCAGACCGGCCTTGTGCGCTTCCTGTTTCAGCCTCCCAAACGCTGGGATTATGTGCACATGACATCCCAGCTTGCAGTTTAAAAAGATTCAGATTTTTTTGACCTGAATAAATAGCTCTTACAGAAGGAAGTCTGACTTCCGAAAACCTTGTCTGTGATGCCATCTCGAGGTCCCCTCTCGCTAGTCTCTGCTTCAGCCGGCCCTGGTGCCATTTCTTCGTGTCTTCCCAGTTCTGCCTAACGGAGGCTGTCTGCCTCAGGACCCTGGAGCCGCTCCTCCTGCTAAGGTTCTAGGGCCACCCTGTTTTTGCTTCCTTCAGCAGCCTTTGGTTCCGACTGACTCCTGTTTGAGTCTTCACAGGACCCCCCCACTCTGAATCGCTGAAGTGACCCCAGCTTTGCTGTTCTGCCTGGCTGTTAGGAGCTTGGAGAAAGCCACCAAGAGCAGGATGGATTTTTTTTTTTTTTTATTAAAACATTTCAAAATTGTATGTGTGTGTATATGTGCGCGTGTAGGTGGGCGAGTGGAGGTCACAAGAACCAACTTGTGGTTCTCTCCCTCCACCATGCAGGTGTCAGCCTTAGCTGCAAGTCCCTCTCAGCCATTTCACTGGCCCTGGGATAAGTTTAGGTCTTTGACCTCAGTGGCCTGCAGGGCCCTGGGTTACCCTCAGCCTCCATTGGCTTTTCTGTTCCCTCCGCCTTCTGGTCTGCTGACGCCCGTGCTGCTTCCCGCTTCTCTCAGGCTGTGGAGGGGCGGGCTCAAGGGCAGTCTTTGTGGACTGGCCTCTTGTTCCTCCCTCTGTGCTTTCGGTCCTCGGCCAGCCTCGCTCTCCTGCCGTCTGACCTCTAACCTCTACCTCCAACTTGAGCTTTCCATTACTGTAAATCTGCAGAAGGGTCTTTCTCACACAGGCACAGGAAGAGGGTGGCGTGCTGGTCGGATGGCTCAGTGCCCCCAGTTTTGATCCCCAGGATCCACATGGTTGAAGGAGAGCCCTGGAAGTTGTCCCCTGACCACACATGTACATTCGCGTGTGCTCAATGTGCTTTAAAAAGGCACCAACAAATTCCTGAGTGTTTATAGCCACAAAGACCCTCTGCCTTTTCATCTTCCCTCCTTCCCATTTCAGTCCTTCGTGTTTATGTTGTTTGTTTGTTTGTTTTGTTTTGTTGAGATAGGCTTTCTCTGTGTGGCCTGGCTGTCCTGAACCTCATTCTGTAGACCGGGCTGGCCTCGAACAAACAGAGATCCACTTGCCTCTGCCTCCTGGGGGCTGGGGTTAAAGGTGGACACTGCCACTGCCCACTCCCACCTCAGTTTTTGCTCGTTTCCCCTCTCCGCCTAATTTCTGAGCTGTCTCGTGCCCTGTGGTCCCCTCTTCTTGAGGCAGAATCTTGTACTGTAATTCAGGCCGGTGTAGAACTCTCCGTCCCGCTCAGCTTTCTGATCACTGAGATTGCAGGCATCTACCCCACACCCGGCCATCCTCAAGTGTTTTTATTAAAGCAGTCTGGGTCCGTGCTTCGAGAAAAATCAAGTATGCACAGAAATTAATGCAACACAGAAGCTTCCCCTCTTACACACCTTTTATTTCCCCTTTTATTCTTTGCTGGTTTTTAAAGGTTTTTACTTAAATGTATGAGTGTTTTGCCTGCATGTATATATGTGTACCATGCCTGTGCCTGGCACCCACAGAGGTTAGAAGAGGGTGTCAGATCCCCTGGAACTGGAGTTACACATGGCTCTGAGTATCCATGTGGGTGCTAGGAGTCAAATCCTAGCCCGTCCTCTTCAAGAGCAGCCGGTCAGCCAATGCTCTTACCCGCTGAGCTTTCTCTCCAGATCCTTGTTCTGACAAAGCACCTTACTGTCACTGCGTCGGCTGATCTGGAACTCACAGCATAGGCCAGGCTGTCCTCCAAGTCACAGGGAAGGGCCAGCCTCCTCCCAAGTGTGGTTATAGTCATGGGCCCCCAAGCTTGGTCTCCCAGCCCCTCCACTCCACCCCCATCTTCCAGTGTTGATTGGTAATTCAGTCAAGTAAATGGGAAGATCTGATTCTCATAGCTGGTGGGGGAGCAAGATGATGGGAAGGAAGTATCCCCTCTCCTCTAGGAGGAGAAGTCATGTTGGGGCCTGGGTGGCATGCTCTGAATCAGGACTGATGGGAAGGAGTGAAGTCAGGCTGAGGAACAGACCAGGTGTGCTGGCGCATAGCCGTTAGACCTGGTGCTTGCCAGGCAGGTTGAGAGCGCTTGAGCCAGGATGTGGACGCCAGCTGGGGTGGCATAAAGAGGGTGGTGAGATGGCTCAGTGTGTTAAGTTATTTTCTACCAAGCCTGAGGTGTGTTCATTCCTCAGGAGCCACACCATCAAAGCAGAGGGTTACAGTCTGGTGGGGCAAAGGCCACAGAAGCAGACGGGCCTCCCCTTTTGTGTGTGTGTGTGTGTGTGTGTGAGAGAGAGAGAGAGAGAGAGAGAGAGAGACAGGGTTCCTCAACAAGCCCTGGCTGTCCTGGAACTCACCATGTAGATCAGGCTGGTCTTGAATTCACCGAGGTTAGCTTAACTTCCCCTCTGCCTCACACCTGGCCGAGAACTCACATTTTGACTTGAAAGCAGGAGGCAGAACATATTGGAAAGGACCAGAGTCTTTTGAAACCTCCCCCTCACCCCAGTGACACACCTTCTCCAACAAGGCCACACCTCCTGGTCCTTCCCAAGTAGTTTCACTAATTGGTGACCAAGTATTCAAACATGAGCTTCCAGGGCTATTCTCACTCAGACAGCCACAGAGACGCCAAGTAACCAGATCGTGCAGCCTCGTGAGTCTCTTGGAGGCCTGGGCTAAAAGTGCACTTGGCTTGGGACCAGGTCTTCTGTTCTTCTGCCCCCATCTGGCCTGCTGCGGTGGTCGCCAAGTTCCACACAGTATTCCCAGATCTCTGCATAGACAGCACTGCCCTTCCAGTTCAAGATGTAAAGACTATTGTGGACCTTCTCCCACCATCCGTGTAAAACTCCCATGCCTCCAGATGTGTGGGCAGGAAAGGGCCCACACGTGCCAGGCACACGCTCTGCCACTATGCCGAAGCCCTAGTCAGATCTCGCTCTGAGGCTGTTCTGGAGCTTTCTGTGGAACCCAGGCTGTGCCTGAATGAGAGGCATGCCTCAGCGTACCTGGTCCTTTAGATTCCCCTCTGCTTTGTTTTTGAGACAAGGTCTTGTATAGGCCATGCTGGCCTCCAGCTCATTATGTAGCTGGCCTGCCTTCCAAGTGCAAGGATCACAGGCATGAAATCCACCATGTCCGGCTGCCATCGAGTTATTATTATTTTTAAGATCCTTTGTGAAAATTTTGTTTCTACTTTTATTGCTGTGTGTTGTGTGCTTGTACGTGCGGTAGGCCAGAAGAGAGCATTGGACCGAGTAAAACTGGAGTTACGAATGGTTGTGAACCAAGTGGGTGCTGGGAATTGAACCCAGGTCCTCTGAAAGACAAGCCAGTACTTTTAAACACTGAGCTACCGCTCCAGTCCCATGATTTATTCGTGTGTGTTTGTGTTTAGTTGAGGGTTCAAGACAGTGTTTCTCTGTGTAGCCTTGGCTGTCCTGGACTCAGGACCAGGCTGACCTCGAACTCACAGAGATCCGCCTGCCTCTGTCTCCCCGAGTGCTGGGATCACAGGTGCGCGCCACCGCACCCGGCTGATTTATTCTCAGGAGCCTTGCTTTTCTCCGTAGTGTTTGCGTCATCTGACATTACCATTTCATCTTTGTCATCATTACCGTTGTCTTTTGGTGACGGTTGTTTGAGATGGTCTCTGCGCAGACCCTCAGCCAGCCTCCAGCTTGCTCCGTAGCCCAGGCTGGCGTGGAAGTCTGAGCTGTCCTTTTGCCTTGGTCTCCTGAGTACTGGGGGTGCACAGCTGTGCATCATCTGACAGCTACCCTGCTTATGGGACATTGTGTGTCCCCCGTTGTGCGGAACGCTCGGTCCTTGGGGCTGGGGATCTTCCTGCACCGCGCTTTCGCTACATTTAAGATGTGGGGTGGGTGGGCAGGCAGCAGGCTGTCGCTGTCTGTGGAATGGACTAGGGAGTATGTGAATCGTGGGCAGATGGGGAAGGGGTTCCTGACGAGGGCAGTGGCACCTTTGAGTGAACCTCTGTGGGCTTCGGAGGCAGCAGGAAGGCTGTCAGTCTGAGGCGGAGGGCGGTGGCGTGCTGTTTCTAGGTTTAGGGGTGATGGTTATGGCCGACTTCCGCCTGTGCTCTGTGAAGCTCTTCGAATGCTCAGGCAGCCGTGGCTGGCCCTGCGTGCTGCCTGTGGACACGGCCTTTCTAGTTACCATGACCAACTGCCGGGCTGAAACCACTTCAGGGAGGAGGTGATTCCAGCTCATGGCTTTGTACTGTCTGTCACAGCAAGGCGGCCATGCCGGCTGGGGCTGCCCAGTTGGCAATGGCGGGTGCATCGGGGCCCGGACTCACTCAGCGGATTAGAAAGCCCCATGTTTACACCGAGGGCAGAGTTGAACTGCAGCCTTCAAGTCCTGTGCTGGTGGCCTGTCTCCCCAGCGGGTGCTTAAAACAGGAGTCTGCGCGGGGGGGGGGGGGGACCTCACACCTTCGCTCGCCCCGCCCGCCCGACTGTTAGGGCCCTGGGGGCGCTGGCCTTGGGGGGTCAGCTTGAGGGTCAGGCAGGTGCCCTGAGCGGCCTGGCCAGGACACCGTGCAGAGTACCAGCATCTGTTCTGCTTCTCCCGCACAGGCATTTGTATCAAGTGTGGGCTTGGCATCTACGGAGCGAGGCAGGCGTGCCAGGCGATGGGGGGCCTGTATCACACCGACTGCTTCACCTGTGACTCCTGCGGTAGGTGACGCCCATCCCGCTGCCCCTGCCACTCACTCGCTCGCACCCGGTCTCAGGCAGGGGACGCTCAGCCCGGGGGCGGAGGGAGGCTGCTCCGGGGCACACATTCTTTCTGCGCACGTGGTTGTCCACAGAGCTTCCGTCCACACAGGGTGCTGCTCCCCTGGGAGGGATGGGGCGTGTTGGTGAGAGGGGTTGCGCCCATCTGCACATGTAAACTTTTGTTTTTCGGGATTGTTTCTTTTCCTTTATGGGTATGAATGTTTGGCTTGAGTACGTGAGTGTGCACACGTGTGTGCCTGTGGGGTCCCCAGGACCGGGGTTCTGGCGGCAGGTCACCGTGCGGGTGTTTGAACTGAAGGGGAGTCCTCTGTAAGAACGGCAAATGCTCTTAACTGAGTCAGCTCCAGCCCCTGCATGGTGCGTGTGTGTGTGTGTGTGTGTGTGTGTGTGTGTGTGTGTGTGCGTGTACGTGTACGTGTGTACGTATGTCTTAGATAGGGTATCTGTTGCTGCAATTAAACACCATCACCAAAAAGCAAGTTGAGGAGGAAAGGGTTTATTTGGATTACATTCCCTTATTGTTCATCATTGAAGGAAGCCAGGGCAGGAACTCAAACAGGGCAGGAACCTGGAGGTAGGGGCTGATGCAGAGGCCATGGAGGGTGCTGCCTACTGGCTTGCTCAGTTTTCTAACAGAACCAGGACCACAACCACAGGGATGGCACCTCACACAGTGGGCTGGGCCCTCCCCCATCAATCACTATTTCAGAAATTGCCTTACAGCTGGATCTCATGGCAACATCTCCTCAGCCGAGGCTCCTTCCTCTCTAATGACTAGCGTGTGTCAAGTGACACAGAACCAGCCAGTACACAGTATAATGTATAGCACTGAGTCAAAGAGAGGCTACCTTCCAGAGAGCGTGAAGACAGAAGACAGCGGCTCCTGCCTGTAACACTGCCCTGGGGAGGCTGAGGCAGAAGCAGGGAGTTCAAGGCCAGCCTAGGTGACAGGGAAACCCTTTCCCAAAAAGAAACAACCAGATTCCTCTGCACCCAGGATGCACTACCGTTTCTCCAGGTGCCAGTTTGGACAAACCTATTTACTGTGATGCGAAGACTGTCTTAGGCTTCACATCCTGCTTTCCTTTATTTGGCTGAGTCATTAATCCACACCCATCTTCTTCCACAGAGGACCAAGTGCACTGTGGTTAGATCCTTTTTTTCCCTATGCTTTTTTGTTTTTCCTGTTTTTGAGATTTTCTTTAAAATAAAAGTGGGGAGAGGCAGGGTAGGAGATGGTGCAGTCAGTAAATACTGCACAAGGATGAGAACCTGATTTGAGCCCCAACGTCTGTGTAAAACAAGCGGAGTGTGGTAAATGGGGTCCCGGTGCTGGGAGGAGGAGGAGACAGGAGGCTCCCAGGGTCTGGCTGGCCGGATCATCTGCCAAATCCGTGAGCTCCAGGTTCAGGGAGAGGCTCTGCCTCAAAGAACAAGATGGAGAGCTGTCAAGGAAGACATCCAGTGTTAACCTGGCTTTCACAAGCACATGCACACACACACACAGCATTTTTCTAGAAATCTCCCGTATTTTGCCTTCTTCAGCTGTAACCTGAGGAGGCTACAACAACACTGAGACAACAGTGGGCTGAGGCAGGAAGGCCCTCAGCCCTTAGATCGGCTCTATCCTTAGGGCAGCTGCTCTCGTGGTGGTGAATTCCCTTTAATCTGTGCTGCACATGTCAGTGTATTCCTGACTCCAAACAGTGGCCCGTCGTGTGCACAGCCCACAGCTTGTCTCTCTGGTAATCCCCGACAGGCCCCGGACTGCTGAGAACGCTCTCGTAGCGCATGTTTTCATTTCTCTTGAGTAAATCGCCTGGAGTGGGGGTCATAGGGTGTGAGCATGTTTCTCTTTATAAGAGGCTGCCAATTGTCTTCTCAAGGAGCTGGTCCGGTAACAGTCCCCTTAGAAACTTAATATCGCATGTCTGCACATTTGCCTATAATTGGCACCCGCGCCTTCCTAAGTACCCGTTCTGCCGGGTAGAATCTCCTTGTGGGTTTACTGTGTATTTCCCAGGGAGCAGCATTTTGTTTGCTTTTTGGCCATTAGTGCATCTTCTTTTTTAAAAAATCACTTACATTTTTATTATGTATTTGTGTGTGTGCAGATGGGACAAAACTTGCAGGGGCCAGTTCTCTCCTACCCCATGTTGTTTCAGGGATCAAACTCAGGTTGTGGGGCATGCAGCAAGCATCTTTGTTGCTGAGACATCACATATATATATAGGTATATATATACCTATATAAAATTGGGAATTATTTGAGTGCTGGTGCCCAAGGAGGCCAGAGGTTTCAGATCCTCTGGAGCTTGGAGGGACTGTGAGCCATCCTGTGGGTGCTGGGCAGTGAATTTAGTTTCTGCAAGGGGGAAAAAAAAGTTAAATTTTGATTAATCCCAGTTCATCAGCTTTTGTGTGATGGGGTTGCAGGTCTGAGCACTCAGCACTCATTTTGGACTGACAACAACTTTATCTCAGAGTTGCGTGTGCCCACAGGGCAGCCCCAGGGGTTGCTTCTCAGGAACTGGTTTTGTTTGTCCGCTTGTTTGTTTTTTCGAGGCAGGGTCTCTCACTGGGCCCTGAGGTATAGCAGTTACGCTGGTGTGGCTGGCCAGCAAGCTGCTAGTACTCCTTGTGTCTGCCTCCTCGGCGCTGGGCTGGCAAGGATGTGCCGCCATACTTGGCTTCTTATGTGGGTCCTGGAGGTTGAACTCCGGTCTGCACCGTGCGTGCAAGTACTTCACAGACTGAGCCACCTCCCCAGCCCTTCCTCTCACTTTTTTGTTTTGTTTTGATTTTACTGATTTCTGCAGAAAATAAAAGATGCCGAGATAGGTAGCATTTGAAAATGAACACAGCTGTTGCAAGCTGGGAAGAGTCCAGAATTTTACCCTGCAGCACGCTGGCAGTTAACCCGATGACAGAATGCACATGCTTTTTGGTTCAAGCAAACCTCCTGCCTCAGCCTGTGGAAAACCAGGAACTCCAGCAAGCCCCACCATGCACAGCTTGAGGAACTCCAATATTTTACGATAGGCTGTCAGCAAATCTCCCCGACCCTGTACCAAAGGCACATCCCATCTTTGTAATGCTGGGCAGCAAGACTTTCCCAGAGGAGATGCACTCTGTTTCCTGAGGAGTTTGCTCTGCAAGCATTTCCCCCCCTCCCCCCAAGACAGGGTTTCTCTGTGTAGGCTTGGCTGTTCTGTCCTTACTTTGTAGACCAGGCTGAGCCACACCCCAGCCCCTCACTGGGGGATTCTAGGCAAGGGCTCTACCACTGAGCCACACCCCAGCCCCTCACTGGGGAATTCTAGGCAGGGGCTCTACCACTGAGCCATGCTCCCGTGTGCCCCCAGCTCTGGAGTATTTTGGGGAAGGGTGTTTCTGTAGCTTTCAAGCTGGCCTTAAACTCCTGCTGCCTCTGCCTCTTGATCTGAAATTACAGTGTGGGCCACAAAGCTGTTTAAGAGAAAAACTACTTAATATCTCAGCGATGTGCCTGATGCAGCTGTGTATTTTCATAAGCACCCTCACCAGGCCGTAGTTTCTTCTTGTTGCCAGCAGCTCCTGGCACCTCCTAAGGGATGGTAATGCCAGCTGAGGCAGTAGAAAGATAGAGGAGTGGAGAGGGGACCTTCCTGCCTTTGCTCTGATTACAGTTATGTTGACTGTTCTAGTGTCTTCTGAATACTTGTTTTTGTTTTAGAGAGGGTGCATTATAGCCCAGGCTTTGTAGCCAAGTGTAACCTTGAGCTTCAGGTTCCTCCTGCCTCCGTATCCCAAGTGCTGAGATCACAGGCATGTGCCACCACACTCAGCTTTATTATTTGGTTTTCAAGGTGGGTCTTAGCCTGTAGGCTAGGTTATCCTCCAATGCTGGGGTCCTGCCTTCACCTATGGGATGTTGGGTTAGAGGTGGGAGCCACCATTCTGGCTTGAAGTGCTTATAGCAGCAGTGTAGCACTAAAGGGGTGTTTGGAGATGTTCATAGCTCACTCTCGCATTGGTTGGGGTGAGAGCTGAGACCCAGGCCGGGCTTTGTCCCTGGCTCCAGCATGTCACCCTTCCCCTTGCAGGGAGACGACTCCGAGGGAAGGCCTTCTATAACGTGGGCGAGAAAGTGTTCTGCCAGGAGGACTTCCTGGTGAGTCTCCCCGGTGTCGCTGGCCGAGCTGGGGGGGAGCAGGGAGGGACCCTCCTTCGGACTCACATGCCGACCTGAGGCCAGCGACAGTGCGTGCCCCTTTGTCACGTGACGTTCTGGATCCTGTGTCCCCTCTCAGTACTCCGGGTTCCAGCAAACAGCTGACAAGTGTAGCGTGTGTGGACACCTCATCATGGAGATGGTGAGAACCTCCCCAGTCTCCCGGAGTGCCCTGCCCCTTCCTTTTTCTAGACCAGTGGCAGGGCCCTGAGCCATCGCCTCTTGGGGGCGCCGCTGAGCGTCCCGCCCGCACTGACCTTGTAGTTCCTCTCAGATCCTGCAGGCCCTTGGCAAGTCCTATCACCCGGGCTGCTTCCGCTGCTCCGTGTGCAACGAGTGTCTGGACGGGGTTCCCTTCACCGTGGACGTGGAGAACAACATCTACTGCGTCAGAGACTATCACACGTGAGTGTCCGTGCCCGAGCTGTGTGGCCCACCGCTCTCTGTTTCCTGCCTGCCTCTGCCTCTCTGGGTCTTGCTTGTCTCCTTTCCGGCCTCTCTGTGTTTTCTCAGCACTTGGGGCAGGTGTATTAGTGACTTTTCCCACTTTGGTGACTGAATCCTCCACAGAACGGTGTAAGGAGAGGTTTATTTTGGCACACAGTTTCATGATGGGCAAGGCCTGGTGTTGACAGCATGGAGTTGGGGACAGGAGCAGGAAGATGGGGTGCCTTACATGGAAAGAAGGGACATTAGGAAGGAACCTGGAGAGAGCTGGAACCATTAAGTTACTTCCCCTAGTGACCCACCTTCACTAGCCAAGCCCACCTCCAGAGGGCTCCACAGCCTCCCCAACAGCGCCACCTCCTGGAGAGCAAGTGTTCCAGACATGAGCCTAGGGGAGGGGTTGCCTTGAAGCCATAAGGGCAGGGTGGGGCAGGTTGTGTTTTCTGATCCTTCTCCTGGGTAGTCTGGCCGTCAGTCCCCTCCTGCCTTCGCTCCCGGCCTTTGTCTCCGTACCCCTCTTCTTCCTGGTGAGCTTACCAGCTTGCTCCCAAGAGAAGGGCCCTGGCCTCGCGTGGGCAGCCAGTCTGTGCTGTGGCTCTAGGCTCCCGCTTGGGAGCTCTGGGCCTGTGCTGCTGCTGAGTTTGGAGAGTGATGCCAGCATTGTCCTTGGTACTCAGGGTGGAACAGGGGTCTCCCCCAGGGATGGCTTCAGTCCGGCTCTGAGGGGCCAGAGGTTACACAGGAGAGGTGTGGAGAGAGACTGAAGCCACCCTGGAAGAGGAAGTGCATCCGCTGTTAGCTCCAAGAAGGCAGAAGCTGCACAGCCAGTGTCCACACTCGGGCCAGGCCGCCATGGAGCCTCGGGAGTAGATCTGCCTCTGCTCACTCACGTCCGCTTTATTCTTCCAGGGTGTTTGCACCAAAATGTGCCTCCTGTGCCCGCCCCATCCTCCCTGCACAGGTAGGAACACTTCCCCGGGAAGCAGCAGGTGCCCGTCCAGTCCTGCCTGCTCTGCCTCAGATCCTGGGCCAGGGTGGCCATGCTTTGCCTCCCTCGGGCTCATGCGCTGGGTGGGATGGGTGGATCCTGGGTGAATTCCAAGGAAGCCATGGCCTGTTCCTGGCTTGTCTCGTTGCAGCGCTCCGCTCCATTTTCTGGAGGAGGGGAAGGGCTGCTCACTGGGCTGGTTCAGCTCTGCAGTGAGTGCTCCTCGGACCTGAGGAGCAGAGGAGCACTCACTGCAGAGCTGAACTCACTCCAGCTCTTAATTTTGGGTCTTTCTGCATGAGCTGTGTATCTCCAAGTCAGCCTTGGAGAAACAGGGCTGGTAGTGGGAGTTCCACTTTGTTCCAAAGTTTCGGCTTTGGAGAGGTGCAAGTAGTGTGTGTGAGCCAGCCACCGTATCATTTTCTTACTGTCAAGTGCACCTGTGTGGCTGCCGTTGGGGGTGACGCCCAGGGCGCATGCACATTGATTCTTGGGTACCTGCTCAAGTGCAGTGTCCATGTGCCCAGGTCTGTCTACCCAGTGTGGCCTGTTGTAGACAGGTCATAGTGCTCCAAGTCCAGGAAGAACGTGTGTGAACCCTGCCTCTCCCTCCAGGGCTGTGAGACAACCATCCGTGTGGTGTCCATGGACAGAGACTACCACGTGGAGTGTTACCACTGTGAGGTAAGCCCCGGCCTCACCGACACCCTCCCCGGCCAGCCTTTCCTTTCCCACGGGCACCTGCTCCGCTGTGCCCACTTCTCTTTCAGATGGTCAGATTTTCACTAGGTGGGGTGTTAGAGGTAGTAGAACAGATGGGAATTTAGACTTGGCAGTGTCCACGTAAGGTGATGTGTGCTGTTGGCGGGAGTTGTCAGAACCTTGGAAAATCAGGGAAGGTTTCCTGGAGGAGATAGCACCAGCCCAAGAGTTGAACAGTGAATGAGAGTTAGCCATGCAGGCAATGAGGGCATCTTGAGGCAGTAAAAAGTGTGCTTATGTAGAAGAGAGCGTGCGTGTGTACATTTGTGCATAAGTGCATACATGATTTTGTGCTGCTGGTGAAACTGCCAGAGGCTGGGGATAGAGGCCCTGAAGGCTGAAGAGAGAGAAGTTTAGCAAGATTCCACTGTGCTTTTTGTTGTCTGTGAGACAGGGATTTCACATAGCCCAAGCCGGCTCCGAACTTGGTTCTGTAGCTCAGGTTCACCCAGAACTTACACTCTAGTTTTATAAGACAGGGTTTTACTGTATAGCCCTGGCTGTCCTGGAACTGGATATGTAGGTCAGGCTGGCCTCAAACTCAGAGATCTACCTGCCCCTGCCTCTCGAGTGCTGGGATAAAAGGCGACCAGCCCTAGAACCTGAGCTCTTAACTGCCGTAGCCTCCTGAGGCCTGGGTTTCCAGGGTGTGCCTAAGGCGGGTGACTTTTGCATCCTGCCAGCTAGGCATTCTGGCCTCAAAGAACAATTAAGAACACACTCTTGCATAGCCGGAAAATACAATGTTTGTGGGTCACCCTGTCATCTCCGCGTTTTAGTTCAAGAAATGGCTTTCTCTCTAACAACAGTAAACCATATACAGTAAGAACAATTATGAGAACTGTTGGGGTAAGAATTATAGTCCATCTGCATTCGGCAACTTTGGAGAAAATATTCTAGTGTCTATCTGAAACACTTTATTCCTTTTATATGTCTTAAATTATTTTCTTATTATTAAGCTTTTAAATCCTCTCACCTTCATAACTTGCATTTACCAACCTTGAAACTTACCTTTTTAGACCCTAAAATACTTCTTTACATCCTTAGCCACCTAAGCTTTTATGTCTTTGAACCTTGATGAATGTTACACCTTTTTTGTGTGCTTTCTTTTTTGAAACCAGTAACAAGGAAAACTGTAAAACTATTACTCTCTAGTCTTCAATCTTGTGAGAGTCCTGAGAAGGATAAATTTTACCTGAGTAAACAGGAAGTGCAGAGCAAGTAGCTTCCAAGTATATAAAGATGACAGAGACTGAGTGACCACCTGGACAGTCACCCAAGGCTTCTCAGTGTCAGTGGGCATCCGTCTTCGGCCGCCATGCCCAGGAGATCTGACAGACCTTCCTGTGAGTTGGGGATTTTGAAGGACTGTCCTGCCCTGTCTAAGCACAGTGTCGTGCTGTATGCAGTTGGGGTCAAAGGGCAGCTTACAGCTTTTGCCATATTTGAAGCAAGCTCCAGGCGAGGTTCTTCTGCGCCCATCATCATCTTCAGAGGAGGAGAATAGGGGTGCTGCCAGGTACTGATATGTCGCTCTGTCACAAAAAGCCTTTCATCGGCAAAACATCTTACATTCCATAGTCTACAGATTTCTGAAGTATTTGAAGACCACCTGTCTGTTGACAGTAGTGCAGATAGACAAACGTTGCTTGTTTTTGGCTATTTATTATCTGCTTAACTTTGAAAACAAGATATAGGAGGCTAAACAAAGCTTATTTCTTCAATTATCTAAACTAGTACCTAACATGACTACAAGTTTGATTATTTACAGGTGGCTGACCAATAAATTGCATTTCTTTTCCTTTTTTCTTTCTTTTTAAGTTTACTATTCATACAGGGTTCTGCCTGCGTGTCTGCCTGCAGGCCAGAAGAGGGCACCAGATCTCGCTACAGATGGTTGTGAGCCACCATGTGGGTGCTGGGGATTGAACTCAGGACCTTTGGAAGAGCAGCCAGTGCTCTTAACCTCTGAGCCATCTCTCCAGCTTTAAATTGCATTTCTTAATTACCCTAAACAGTTTAAAATAGTGGCTTTTAAATGAATTGCATATACACATATAAACGTACATATACAGTATGTTGTAGCAAGTATAACCTTAAATTTCCGTTACACAGAAGTCCATACCAATCTAAAATATTTGAGACTCGTTGCTTTCTTATTCTAAAAGGAGATATGATAATTCACCCTTTTTCCTATCAAGGAGAGACGATACCCTTCTTTTTTTTTTTTTTTTTTTTTTAATTTACCCACTTTTCCTTCCCTTTTCCCCGTTTTCCCCCTAACACTAGATAGGAGAGAAAGATATAGCAAAGGGGGAACCCTGAATTTAACCCCCGTTCCTTTGTTTCCTCCCTGACAAAGACCATTAATAACTTGTAACCGATCCTCCCCCAAATGACAGCCAACGTCCGTGACCCACTGAACAGCCAGTAACTCCCCACCCCACCTCTCGGGATTGAGGTTGTTTACATTGCCTCCTGCTGTCTAAGGCGACAGCATCTTTTGGGGACCCTAAGAAAATTGTGATATTGGCTGAGTCCTGGGAGAGCTGGCTGCTTCATTAGCTGTCCAGGAGGTGTGGGCCTAGCTGAGGCTGGCCATCAGGCTGGACCACCTGGGGCTAGCCACTGTGAAACTGTCCTGGGTGCAAGTTTTGAGGAAACATCAGGACCTGGCAGGTGGCTGGAACAGATAAAGAAGAGTGAATCTTGTCAAGGCTGCTCTAACTTCATTGCTGTTGTCTCTTTGCTCTGAAAACACAACTTTTAAAGGTGACATAAGGACATCTCCATAGTAACACACATTTGGAATGTGCAGTGTGCACAGATCAGCGAATGACGATTCTCTGCCCTGTGCAGGAGCAGGTGGAAGGCATCTGTCAGTCTTTACATCAGTTTGAAGTGCATAACCAAACTGTAGCTGGGTGTTCTAAGTCCCCATCTGTGCCACATGAAAGGATGGCATGCAGTCATAAGTCATGAGGACCCAGTAGCCAATAACATTGATTGGCTGAGTAGCTGGCCTTCCAAGCTGTTCCTGCACTGGAGGATCAGCATTTGAATTGCCTGTTTTGGATCTCTTCTGGATCTCTTCTTCCAAGTCTGCAGCCAAGATTTCAGGAGGTCTCTCATGGTCAGTCTAATCTTTATGAACTGTGAAGGAATCCATAGCTTTCATAACCTCTTCCCCAGTGCAGCACATTTCCTGACTGCCATGCTAAGGTTAACACATCTTCTCATAGTCTATAGGCTGATTTTAATTCAGCAGTCTTCTCTAAAATCCATTGTTTTTCAGCAGCTGTGTTACCTGTTCCATTGACATTTAAAATACTTTAAGTTAATATGTAATCTATCTTTGAGGGAGCTCAGATCCCCCTTCTGTTCATGAACATTGCCTTTAAAGTATGGTTAGGTCTCTCCACAATTGACCTGCAGGGTCGTAAAGTAAGCCTTTAACGTGCTTTATATTACAATTAAAAGATGTTTTATTTTACTGGATCCATATGCCAGAGCATTATCAGCTTTAATTTGTGAAGGTGTTGCTAAGATGGCCATCGTTTCTAATAAACCTGTAATTACAGAAGCAACCTTTTCAGAACTAAAAGCAAAAGTCCATTGGAATCCTGAGTAGGTATCAATTGTATGATGTACATACTTTAATTTTCCAAATTCTGTAAAATGAAACACATCCATCTGCCACATTTCCTTTCTTTGGGTCCCTTTAGGGTTCCTTCCGGCAGGTAATGGAGTTTGGTTATACAGAGAACAAGTCGGACAGTTTTTTCATAATTTACTTGTCTTGTTACCAGGTTACAGAAATATTCCCTTTAAATTTCCACTATTTATGTGATGCCTTTTATGAAAATTTGAAACTTCTAATAGTCCTGATTTTTTACTGAAGTACATGGGCTTCAGATTACTTTACTTATATTCTCTGACTTATAGCCCGCCACCCCTCATTTATTGGCATCTGTGTAAAAGGTCGGAGCTTTAGAAATTGGTATTCCTTACTATATGAGGTAGAATCCAACTAGTTCTTTAAATTGAAGTTGCCTCTTTGGGGGGGCTTGTTAATTCCTCCAAAGAAATGACTTCAAGCTCTTTTTCCCCCCTTCTGTGTCTGTGTGTTTTTGTTTGTTTGTTTGTTTGTTTGTTTGTTTGTTTTTGAAACAGGGCTTTTCTGTGTAGACCTGCCTGTCCTGGAACTCACTCTGTAGACCAGATTGACCTCAAACTCACAGAGATCCACCTGCCTCTGCCTCCCGAGTGCTGGGATTAAAAGTGTGCACCACCACCCAGCTATCTTATTTCTTTCAGAATCAGTCCAGAAAGTTTTTCTGAAATTTCTTACTCTGTGCTAAATATCCATTCTAAAATAGTATCTCCTCTCTGCATAAGAATTCCTGTGGGAGAATAGTAGAAGGCAAAATAACTAAAATGCAATCAATCTTGGGATCCGAGTGGTCCGCATGTAATCTCAGTTCTAGCAGAGCCAATCCTCTCTCAGCTTCGGCTGGTAATTTTCTCGGACTGTTTACGTTCGAATCAGCTCATGCGGTTTGAAATGAATTACTTAGCTCTGGAGTGGCTGGCCCCGGTGTGGTCCACGTCCACTTAATATTCCCCAGCAGTTTTTGAAAATCATCAAGAGGTTGTAACTCATCTCTTACCTGTATCTTTTGTGGCTGGATTTTCTGTAGGCCTATGTTATATCCTAGATAATTACTGGAATCTCCTCTTTGTGTTTTTTTCATGAGCAATTTGTTACTCCCAACAAGGCAAAATTCTCTTTACTTCAATAAACAGTTTTTCGAAGGTATCAGAAGCAGCCAGTAAGATACCATCCATATGATGATAAATTATAGACTGAGGAAACTTTACAAATACTTCTAACAGCTGTTGTACAGAATATTAGCAGAAGG